AGTTTACCATCTCAGTCTTAAACTACAAGGAAAAGTTTTGGAATCTGTTTTGGACTTAATTTTTCTTAACCTGCCAAATTTGCAAGCACCAAATTACATAGCTTGTGAATATTTTATGAGAGAAAAATGCTTGGCTGTCTCATCAGCCGTGTTTTCCAGAGATCATTCTGTTTCCTTTTATTCAGTGAAAGGAATAATGTTTTTCTGGGTATCAATAATTAATCCTTTGAAACTAGCCAAACTGTAGCTACTGTATGATAACTGACGTCAATGTAACCTAATATTGACCAAGAACTTAATATTCAAAGAAATGCTGTGGATAGGCCAATTTACAGGGAGTACCTCTTAGCTCATAATTAGTTGCTTTGGCCTTTGCTTTCTGTTTCATACAACGCTGACTCTATTCGTAGGTCTCTGTAGAGCTATTTATTTCTCACATTCCCATCTGCTTTGTTTATTAATATTCCAGTCAAATCCCATGTTTGCTAAACTGCTTCAGGTTTTTTGGTTTACTTTTTATTTGCACTGGATGAACTGGTATTTAGTAACTATTAAGATGAAGATTACAGATGGTAACTATATCTGATGGAGAACATCTGCCAGGGCAATGTATTCAGTAGATACCTGATGTCTTGACACACACAGTACGTTACCCAGCTGCTGAGAATGCATCATAATATTATGGTTTTATATATAAATTTAAGACCCCTGTTCAGAGTTATCGAAATGGTGAGAGAATTTATCTAAGGGCATGTAATTGAATTACTGATAGAAGTATAATAATTTTAAACTTAGTGTTTTAGATGTCTGCCTCATAGAACGGAGAGATAGTCTTATAGGCAAAGTGATTCCTCTTCACATAGCATCTGTTGGTGACTTTGGGGAAAGGGAAAGGAACTTAAACATAGATTTCCAATGTTTGAGAGTGGCCAGTATGAAAGTGTTGTTGATTTGATATAAAACACTTCTTAAAATGCAGGCTTTAGGAATGCAGTGCTGTTGAGGGGCAGTTAATATAGATAAAATTGCAAGTTGCTGGCATCGTTATCTAAAGCAGCCCTTCCTTAATCTCCCCAAACTATGTTTTATTACTGCATACTTCAAACCAGGTGCAACTGACATTGTGGCAGGTCTTTTGTCATCTTGTGTTCTCTAGGCTGGAATTCCAAGGCCAGTACTGGGCTTGCTCCATTGGTGTTATTGTTCATCTGCTCAGTTGAGCATACTGCTTCCTCCTGAGTGATGTGGGCACGACTTGATGCCCTGTATTCTCATTGCAGTTGATAATTCATGATTGTTTTGCGCTATTCATACTACTTAAATGTTAGAGCAGCACGAATATCAGAGTTCCTTTTTTTTTGTTTCACCAGACTTTAACCCAGTTCATTTTCCTCGCATTACCTGACTGTTTCCTGTTTTCTAAAATATCTTAACAAGAGACCAAGTTTTTTCCAGTACCAATACTTCAGAGAGTGCTTATCAGGTTGTCTTCACAGTGTCCAGGGTTTTTAGGGTTTCTAAAAAGGCAGATTATTCCCAGATGATGTTTTAAATTTTTTGTAATTTTCTGATTTTATTTTGCACAGCCCTGGGTTGAATGGAGTGTCTGTATATTAGTTCTGTGTTTGTACAGGTATTCTAGACAGGTAAGATGAAGCAGGTAGGACTGTGATTTCAAAAATGAAAACTGTTTTTGAGTGTCTTTGCCCTTTAGAAGTCTGTTTGCTTAAGCATCCCAGCACTTGTGTAATCTAAATCAATATTCATTGTTGAAAATACGAAACAAAGCATTGAAGTTGCTGGTCCAGGTCCTTGTAAAACCACTGGTAGAACAGTGAATCTTGATTCCTGTACACACCTTCTGATCATGCATTCTTTTCCATTTTGTCACTGAATTCAGAAATACACATTCTGCAAAATATGCTGCTTCTCAGTCTACCTGAATGCTGCTGTCATCAAATAATTAAAATAACAAACACTTTGTGAAACAACAGGTAAACAGAGCGGATAAACAGAGTATTATCTTACTTGTAGCTACTGAGCCTGTAAATAATTAAACAGTTATCGTCACTGTCAGGTTATTTTTTTAAGCACCTTTTTCAGGTTATGGTGTTGGTTACTCAATGCTTTGAGGTGAAGAAATAGCAATGGAACAGGACTATACAGTTAATAACAGGACTGATTTGTACACAGTGCAAATGAAAGCAGCCTTTAAATCTCCCTTAGTGATCTCTCCCCAATTGCATAATGACTTGAGAATAAACTTTTCTTAATACTTAACTGCCAATTTAGTAAGCTAAGAAGCTAGCCATGTAGATGAAAAATATAAAACATCCCAACTGAATAAAAATATTACATAACAGCAACTAATCTGCATATTAATTATAGCTACAGTAATGGCAAAAGTTAGGCTTGGTATATAGTTCATCATAAGACTGCTCCAAATGATGCTTGGCAGGGGATGATTGTTTTACTTATATTTTAATTAAAAAATAATATGGGTGGGTGGTTTTAATAGAGGTGAAGTAAGTGGTATAACTGCAGAAATACAGCTATTCAAATATATTACAGACTTTAATACTTTCAGAGAATCAAATACTGAATAGGTCTGTCATATCTTGCTTCTCTATTCTATTGGCAACCAAAATTCAATACAGCAAAAAGAACTGTAGGGTATTAGAACCTCTTGAAAATAAAACAACTACTTCTCTCCTTCAATTAAGTAAATTATTTATTCTTTTACTGAGTGTTAGGAAATTTTATTTTTAGAATTTTATGAATAATCACATCTTTAAAATTCAGTTTGATATAGTGACAAAAAGGTTAGGGGTAAGGTAGGAATATGTAACAGTAACAGAATTTTCCAATCTTAGTGTTTTGAAGTTTGCTACCATAAAGTAGGCTTTTCCGTTCAGTTTTTTTTGGGTTTTTTTTTTTGTGTTGTTTAATAGTCTGTAGTTCTGGGCCTTTCTATATCAAAATCCATACTTATGTTTTTAGTAAGGTGTGCATCCCTGAGCCTCCTGGGCCACAAGCAGAGTGGGAGGAGAGCAGCTGGGGCCAGTGAGGCTTGTGAGTGCCCCCAGGGCCTTGGAGGTGTGTCTAGGTTGCCCTAACCCTCAATATTTTTTGTTATTACAATGTCTGGTATATACAGCCACATCATCCAGTAACAAAAAAAAAAAAAATAAAAAAATGAAGCTAGGTTTCTCTTTCCTGGTTTATAACCAAAGCAGCATGAATGGTGGTCAAGGCATTTCTTTGGGACTGATCTATGTGGCTTGGTGATGACATGGGTCACAAATTGTCCTTAGCCAGGTGCTACTCTCCTGGAAATGGCTTGTGGCTGTCCCAAGCTCCTGTGGGCCATGCTCTGTGTGTGCAGTGCTCTGTACGTCTCCCCATGCTGAGTGCAAAACATCTGATTCACTGTATCCAAATTTGTCAGGGAATGAGGTCCAGTTATGTAAATAAAAAGTGGCTTTTATGTTCTTTCTGGTTATTTGCTTAGGAAGTGCTGAATTACTCTTGTAGCTCTGAATAATCTGTTATTATCAATATAGCCGCATCATGCACTGTGCTGTAATTGCTAGTGAGAAGATAGAGCCCAGCTTTCAGGAGGGAGACTAACGGAGAAAAATCTGGTTAGCTAATTAAGTTGCAATATTGAGATTCTCTAAAAACAACTGTTGGGTCTCCATATTACATTTTTGGTGTTGCTGTGCTGTCCTTTGCTGACAGATTCAGTGCGATTGCTTTATTAGTTCAGCGCTGCTCTCAGGAAGTGCCCTTACCTTTATATCCAGCTGTGTCCTCAAGGCCATCTCACAGCTATGCGTTTTGACCACGATAGTGTAGTATTCCTACTGTAGGAATAATCACTGAACCAGCGTCAACATCTTTGCTTGTATAACGGATATCCCAAAGGGCATTAATGGCAATTGATTTCCTGCTTCGTGGCCTACAGGCAAGTCATCTATAAACAAGATCTTTCAAGCTGTAGGTCTGTGCTGAGTGCTTGAAGCACTAATGTAGATCCATGGGTGCAGTTCAAGTGCTCAGTTCTTGCCTCAGCCCTGGATTTTGATGCCTGTTTAGCATAACTTGTAAAGTATTCAGGAAATCATTAGTACTATGCTGTCACCAAAGGCATGCTCGTGGCACTGTCTGATACATTGCTTATGGTGTGTTTTAAGCGCTGTACAATCTAGGCTGGTTTTTCCTGTCATTTCCCTTGATTTTTGTGCAGTATCCGTGACTGTAGCACAGAGCAGGCAGTTGCAGAGCTTGACATCCTTGCTGCAGCATCCGTGAGAGACTGAGATGAATTCCAGTGCATGTGACTCATCACTCAGCTTAGTGCAGCTGAGGCTTCTCTTTAAATTCTAGCTCTCCGTTCTACGAGAGCCACTTACCAACAGAAAAATTCCTGTGATATATTAAACACTCTTACTGAAACACCAATTGACTGATACCGTGACATCTCCCCGCAGATTCCCTATGGTGTATGTTGTTCCCCTCACGCTTGATAATTGTCTTGTTGGATCATGCTTTTCAGTGAAGGTTTACTCAGATAATTAATTCTAGTGATAGTAAATTAAAACCATAAATAAATTATGTTCACACATAGTACACAATGTTTTGGGACTAATACATCAAAAGGTCCATCGGTGTATGTCTGACAAACTCGTTTATATGCAGCTCTATAATTGCATATGTGGCTCTTGGCAATTGTCTTTCTTATGAGGAAGGAACATATAGCATATTTGATGTCAAGTATATGTTTTTAAGATTTAGTGTCAAGAAGAGTATTATTATTTAGTTGGTAACTCATAGACATTTCTATTTCTAAAGAGACACGGCTGAGTAGGTGCTTAATGTCATCTAGCAGGAATCCAAGAAGACCGATTTGCCTTTTCCATAGCATTTCTTAGCCCCTACACACTGACTTTCACTGTCAAATTGCTAATCATCAACTAACCCAAATACTTATTTTTCAGGAAGCCCAGAAGATCAATGGTGGTGGAGATACACAGGCAGATGGGGCCTGCAAACCAACAGATGAAAAAGAGGAGAATGTGGCAGCAGAAGTGGGGTGGATGACCTCTGTGAAGGATTGGGCAGGAGTCATGATATCTGCCCAGACATTAACTGGCAGAGTACTTGTAAGTTTTCTATGATTTTCTATATTCTTATTGTAATCACCGTCTTTTTTTTTTTTTAACAAACACTGTGTCCCAGCATTAGTGGAGGATTTTTGATTGGCTTGTTGCATTAGCACTGACACAATCCCAGTTTTCTCTTTTGGAACTGAAATAGAAGACTGATTCCTACTGCAAGAGAGAAACAGAGGCAGTAAGTAAGAAAAACAGACTTCCAGGTCACCCGCCAGCCTATTTCAGCATTCTGGCACCATGATTTTGAACTCTGATACAAACACTGAGATTATTAATTTCTATAGGCCTATTTTGTCTGGAAGTAAAGTTGTGCTAGCAAAAATGGAAGCTAACTGCGAAAATAAGCACAGTGTTACATACGTAGGTAGTGGTTAGAACTGTAAAGCAAAGACAAGTTTGAATTTGCCATGCAGTGGGATTTGTGATACTTTCAATAGACTAGTAATGATTTTATGTTCTCTTGATCTTTTTTTTTATTAACTTAAGAAATCCTTCAAACCTGTCAACAGTTAGTTATCAAATAGAACCACAGTCACATATTAATAATGTGTGGTTTAAAGTTCCACTGAAAATACTTTATAGTTTTCACTTTATTTGAATATAATTATTTTATAGCCTTGTCAAATCATACTTAATTGCCAAGGGTTTTCTGTGCAGTTCACTGCAGTAAAAAGTGTCTCCTGTGTGATTTTGATTAGTTTCCTTGTTGGAATGCATGTAACAGCTAAAGTGATTTAAATCCCATTTAAAACTTTTGAGAATCCCAGTGAGATTTTGGAAATAGTTTGCGTTAAACTGAAAACAGAATTTTTGTCCTTGATTGTTTCCTTTTGTTAAGAGATATTTTACTGTGAGTCAGTTCTGCTCTGCAGAGTAATTATTTGGGCGGAGGGAAGGAAGGAAGGAAAAAAAAAAAAAAGAAATTGCACTTTATTCTCAAGTCTTCTGCAGTGAAAAGTTGAGGTGGCTCAGTTGATACTGTCTTGCTTAGTGCAATAAAATATTATATTGATTATTTTTTTCCTAAAAAGACCTTCTGCCCATTTGCTTGTCTTAAATGCTGACTTCTATCAATAGCTTGAAAGCACGTTCCATTGCTGCTTTTAGCATTAGTGTCTCCTATGTGAAACTTCAAAGACATGATCATCTTATGAAAAGCAGCATATTGATCTTTTGCATGTTTTCCTGATTTCTTCAGCATTAAAAATGACAAATCTTAAAGCCATGCTTCTTGATCTAATTTAAGTACCAAGTCTAGAAACGACCCAAACCCAGAGTCCTGTGCTGCTAGCTGTGCAATCAGAAATTAGCCTGTGTTTTTTTTACTGAGGTATATGTGAACACGAATGCAAACCAAGAATCACACGTTTTATCATGTTGAGTTTTGGTTTGGTGGATTGTTTTTTTTTTTTTATTCTTTTTTTAATTTAAGATACTGGGATTATTCAATGGAATTATTATTCAATGGAATTATTCAATTCCGTTTGCTTTATTTAATTCTTTTGGGGTATTTTTTTTTGTACTTTCAACTTACTATTGAATCTTATAAGGGGCTAGTTTATTTCCAGAATTTTTTGTAGACCATTGGGTCAGATTATTTCTAAGAGTGTATTTATATTCTTGTCAAGGCATAACAGCAGGTATTGTACACATCTAGGCTCGTCATTATGACTAACCATCTGAGAAATAAGTAGTGTTGTATGGAGTCTGTTAGTTAATTTTGTTCAGTTTAAAAAACAGGATGCATTTATTTTAAGATAGCTCTTATCAATTTCAGGATTTGAATTCATACAGTATAATTTCTGGAAGATCATGTATGAACATTGTTCATTTAAATCTTACTTTATGGTTATTTTTGCTAAAGGTTAACTGCTTCAATGAACATTGTGCTAGAGAGAATATTCACATTATTTGCAGATATAGAACGTAGCTAAGTCAAGTCAATATTTTTATCAAAGTATAGTGTTTGAAAATATTATGACTTACTCATGATTTTCTACTAACTTGACACAACTTGTTTCTGCCAGCTATTATATTTCTGAATCAAAGTGGGGAATTATTGGCCGGAAGTGGCCAATTATGTCTGGGTCTTCAATGCGAAATTCTTGCCTTGTGTCATTTCTTAGTATGGTACTCCCTCATCATGTGAGTATCTAAGAGTAGGTTTATTGAAAAGGACAGTATCTCAAATATATCGTGTTAATATCTCCAATTGTGCCCTTAGCTCTTGGTCACATGAGGTGGGAGTTGCCTCTGTTTCCTGCTCTTCAGAGTGTTTTTGTATCAATTCTGACAGAGAAACATTAGGAAACAGATTTCTGTTCTTTCAGTCTCCAGGAGTAGTTTTTATTTTGTTAAAAAAGAATTTATTTTTTTTTTGGTTGGGGGAAGCAACATGAGAAACAAGAGTGAGAAATTTACATTCTCAATAATTGAACTATCAAATTTTCAAAGCATTTGACCATCATTTGTTTTATTCTTTTGTCAACTTAGTGCCTTGTAGTATGTAATTCTTGTCTGTTAATGATAGCAAGATTAGATGGAACAGATGTAAAAGTGGCGTATACATGGGATAGTACTAATATTGCAGTTGATGCTGTAGTTTATGTGAATATTGTAGAGACAAAGTACTGAAATAGACTGGACTTTCTTACCTCTTTAGGAGCCAAATTCTATATTTGACATTTCAGAAGTGGTTTATGCACAATGGAATATTCACACTACCCAGTTTCATCTGAATGGCAGGCTTTGGAGGAAGACATTTGTAAAGGGTGATCCAGAATATCCTTCAGTTAGATCTTCTTTTAGTTTCCTGAAGTACTGCAGAAAACAGCTGGCTGGGTATGGCGCCTACAGTTGTGTAGTCAGAATACCTCTTTCTCCTCATTCTTTAGGTTTTAAAAGTATGACTGGAACTTAATGTTCTTGGTTACACAACCTTTGAAAATGTGACTTGTAGTCTTCAATAATGTAGATGAGACTTTCACATGCTGTTTAAAAATGTGTCTATATTAAATTGCATAAGTACATGATTTAAGAATGTGCTAATTGAACTCATGCAGTTCTGTTTGCAGTTGATGCTGAGTGGCATAAATATAAATAACAATAAAAAGTAACAGTTTACTTAAAATCTGTTAAGGGAAATACTGGTTTACTTTGAAGTGCTGTATAATGCTCTAGATGATGGAAGCAACAGATAAAAATTCCTGAGGTGGGTTTCTCAAAGAAGAATTAGAGACATTCATAATTAATCTGAAGCAGCAGGAAATTAAAAGCATTTATGAACTGATTTTGCTTCCTGAAATTAATTCTTTTTTAATCATTTGAGTAAAAAGAAAAAGACTTCCTTAATTAAGTAAAGTGCTTGATGTACAGGAGAAAGTCATATGTATATTGTCAAAGTTACCACAGTTCAGTCCAGGACACAGTTGAATGTGGACTCTCCTTTAAGCTGCCAGAGAAAGAAAAATCATTATTTCAATTGCAGAACTGGAAGATAAAGTGGTGGAGCAAATTGTTGTTTTGTTCCATTTTTAGCACGTGACCTGTAAACACATCACGGAGCTATGAGCTTTACTTTGCTTGTGCTGAGCACCACATGGTGGTTTTGCCTACTGCCTTGACTCTAACAGTACCTAAAAGTCAGTCAGAAACTGGAAAATTTGTGTTAAAATGGAGTGTATAAGGCTTTGCTTTCTAATTACTGCATGATGAAAACATTTTTTAGATGGGCAACGTGGAAAGAAAGAGGAGAAGAAAAGCCCTTTGGGGAATGAGGGAGAAGAAAAGAGGGGACAGCAATTAATGTCAGCAGTATATTAATTATTTAAATTGTTTAGTACTAAGTTATTTAATTAGATTAATTAGGTTGCTTTCTTAATGTTCTTAATACTTAACTCCATTTAAAAACCTAAAGATGAGGAAGCGGTATATGAAGGTGTTTTCTTAAATTAAAAAGTGACTATATGTTCCCCAGTATACATTTAAAATAAAATAGAAATTTTTTGTAACATATTTTGTTTGGAATGTATACTTGTTGATACATTCTCCTCCTCTCTCAATAAAAATCCAGCAGTCATTCTTTTTTCCCGAGCTCTAACTGTCCCACATGGTCAATGGTTGAAAAATGCAAGTCTTGCCAAAACATTTGTAAGACAGAACAAAGTTTTGAGGTTAGTAAAATTTGGGACTTGGGACTGTGCTTGGTAGGGGGTCTCATTTTGCAAGGTCTGGACGTTACAGTTTCTGAGAAACTGGTGTCAAAACTTTACAAGGTGATTAAAAGTCTGAATCAAAGACCGTGCAGTGAATAGAGAGTGACTAAATGTTTAGTATGGAAAGATTTAGACCTTTGACTGAACTTCAGAAGAACTCTTAAAAATGCTAGAAAGCCTCACTGCACATTCAGGGAAAGACAAGAGTAGCATCTTTCTGTCACTCTATAAAAATGTAAGCTTTCAGGTTTCTTAATTTTTATACTGATTGCAGTTTAATTATAAATACATGTAGTACTGAAATGAAAGTAATTGGCAAAATTCTTGTTCAAGCAAACATTCTTAAGCGTAAGCCAGTTATTTTAGCTTAGAGAAGACATAGGTTTTGCCCATAAATATGTCATAAAGAGGAGACTCATTAAAAATTAAATGGGTACCCTAGAGGGCAAAAAAACATACATGAAACAATTGAACTAGAAGTACTGGTGGTTATTTGGATTTTTTTGTGTGGTTTTTAATTTTTTTGAAAAGTTTGTATTCGGAGGAATTGCTTGAGAGCTGGTGGAGTGTTTTGAAAAAAATACAAGTCAGGAAAACCAGTGGATTTTGAAATATAAAGTAATGATAGTAGATTTTCCTGGAAAAAGCAGAAATATGCTATATAGTGCTGCTTTTTTTTTTTAGGATATTTTCTCAGCTTGCTTTCCTCTTGCTACGTTTTTTTTTTTCTGCAGAAGAGAACTCAAATTCTTTTAACATTGAAGGGAAAAAAAA